ATGCTATAAAGACCACCCTCCGAAGCTGCCATTTTCTCAAGGGGAACTGGTCTCTGTAGTCTGCAGGTCTGTTGTAATTCTCGGCGCATTCCAAGCACCCTCTTGAAGTCTGTTACTGCCTATCACCTCCATTTAGGCGGCCTAGGTCTCCCACTCCAGGCTGTCCTGTGCAACAGCAGGAGGAGGAAGAGGAGGAGAAGAAGAAGAAGAGGAGATTGGATTTATACCCCGCCCTTCACTACCCAAAGGTGTCTCAGAGCGCTTACAAACCCCTTCAACAGACCCCACAACAGACACCCTGGGAGGTAGGTGCGGCTGAGAGAGCTCGTGACAGAAACTGCTCTTTTTCAAGAACAGCTCTTATCAGAACTACGGCTTGCCCAAGGTCATCCAGCCAGGTGCAAGTGGAGGAGTGGGGAATCAAACCCGGTACTCCCAGATTAGAGTCCGCGCACTTAACCACTACACCAAACTGGCAAAATGGTGGGGAGAGGGTGCCATTGTGCTGATGCCACACTATCACTTCTGTGGCCAGAGACGGGAGCTCACTCCGTCATGTGGCACAAGGGGCTCAAACTGCCGAGCTACCAACCTTCCGGTGTGCAGCTCAGCGTCTTAACCTTTGAGCCACCACAAATGACTTGCCAGAAGAGAGCCACATTCTCTCTCCACAGGAGTGTTTTCTGTTCATACAACATTACTGATTCATACTTTCAGGTAACCTTACACACACAAAAAAGAAGAGAGAAATTATTAATGCTGATGCGATTGAAAACTAATTTATAAGAATGAAATGACTTTCTCCCCTCTGTGGGCAAACCAATTTGAAAGCCTGTCCTGTTGAAGGGAGAGTAATGAGAAATTTCCTCTTGCTACATATATATCTAAAGATATCTCTATCTAGTTGGGGATAATGTGGCTCTTAGGATAATATGGATGGTTTGGTTGTCTGGGAAATTACCACTCCAGGATAAAGAATTTCTTCTTTTTGATACCTTATTTGACACTTGGATATATAGCTGTATCCACCATTCTATTTGAAAATAATTAGCTTAAGATGACCAAAATGATTGCCATGCCAATTTTATATTTTGGATATATCGGTTATGCTGTATTATTGAGAACAGAAGCAAAAGAGATATAGCATTCTATATTCAGCCTCTCCACCAAGAAGATCTTGTGGTTAAAAAATGGTGTGTGTGCGTGTATCCTTAGCAGAAATCACGGTTATCAGCAAAGTGGAAGTATTTTCTTTTTTAAAAGTGTACAAATACAGGCAAAAATTATCAGTGGAGCAGGGGTCATTTCGTAGAAAAAGAGGTGCAGGAGCTCATTAGCATAACTCATTAGCATAACTTATTTGCATATGCCACACCCCCTGACTTCACCGGAAGTGTGTCAGAAGGCAACACCCACCGCTCAGGCTCCACTGGACTGTTTTGGATTGTTAACTGTTGGGGGGGGGGGATGTGCAGATCTGCCCTCGCAGAGGAGGAAGAGCTTGTACCTGAATAAAACTTGGTCTTAAAGGTGCCACTGGACTGTTTTGGACTGGGGGTGGGGTGGGGGTGGGCTCTGCAGCTTACCTGGCTGCTTCTTGCTCTGACTGAGGGCTGCTGGGAGCAGGGGGTGGGGCTTGTTGCATGTGCCCACCCCCTGGGCTCTTTACTGCTGGAGCTCAGCTCCTGTGCGCTCCTGCAGGAAATGACCCGTGCAGAGGAGTATATGATACCCGTGATTTCTGCTAAGTCGCCTGTTGAGAAGGAGTGCCTGGGTGGGAACTGATTGCCCCGGTGGCTCCTGTACCTGGGAAAGTCATGTGATTTGTTTCCGAAAAGTGTTTGGATTGAATCCAGGTGGAGGGAGGAGGCCCAGCTCTATCTTTGGGACCCTGTGGTGTTCTCAGCAGTTCTGCTGCCCAATAAGACTTCCCCCGTGCTATAAGCAAAGTACACAGATATGAAAAATTCTGCCCGATATTACAAAGAGTGTGACCCTTAGCTGATAGCTTAGGTGAAGATGTTTGAAAAGCAGCTCTAAAAAGGATACATATTTATACGGAACTGAAAGCCAAAGACTGCAAGATCAAGTTCCCTGGTGTTCAGGTGTTCCCTTCAAAGTGTTGTTTATTTCTGGCAATCTGACAGTTCCCCATGGAGGGGAGACTGTAGAATGATGGGTGTCTAATTAAATACTTCAGAATTTTGTGATCCGTCAGCTATTTCTCTTTTTTGGAGTGTGCTTTGGGGGGGGGGGATGTCATAGAATAACTAGCTTCTGATGGACTACCTTCCCATGCCAGTCAATTGTGGCTTTCACATGTCCTTCTGTCACTTAGGAAAACTTTTTATAGCACCATTATGCAAATTCATGGTAGTGCTCTCAACCTTGGCACTGTGTTGAGCTTCTACTGTCTGCGCATATTAAAGTCGACATGCCAGAAATGAGAAGGCTGAGGACTGGCAGCAGAAACAGTCAGAGAGCCAAAGGCCCCAATCCAGGTGAAGTGCACCAGTTGTGAATAAGCAATGGAAGAGTTAGTGCTGATGCAATTTGGCCTCCATCACAGGCCACTGGATAATCACCTTTGCTCTCTGGCAAATATGTGCAGCTGGATTTTGTCATGTGGACAAGGCAGTCCAGTGGAGAATGATTACTATAAATGCATCTAATTCTCAACCTAGCCAAATCAGAGAATACCCGAATCTGGAAACTGGGAGTTTAAAAGAATGAAAATGATAAAAAGGAGTGCTTATCGCTTTAATAAATGGAAGCCCTCAGTGGCTGTAGCTAGGCAACCACAACAGTTTTGCCTGCTTTCAAGGTTTGATTTCCCTCAGTAAAAGGCAGGGGGGAAGGGTCTTTTCCGGAGCTCTCCTTGACCCCTCATTCCACTCATCTAGGGACTTGCACTTGGGGAAAAATTGAATTTTTGAGATTTGGATTTCAGGGAGGATTTTGATATAGGGTTGCCAGGTCTTACCTGTGTCCTGGGGGGAGGGGCTCCAGCCTGGCTCCTGGAGTTTTTACCCAAATGCTAGTGCGTTCCCCACACAAGGTGCCTGGCACAATGATGTCACCTCCGGGTGACGTCATCACACTGAGCATGTTGGGCATGATGGGGGGTCTTCGGGGCCCCACCCCCATCGGGGAGCCCCACCCCCATTAGGGGGTTGGCAACCCTATTTTGATACCATATTCTGAATTATTCTGCCCCCCAATACTGTTTCAGAATTTAGATTTGTGTTCCCCCCCCCCAGAATTCTGAAATTTTGGGGGTCCATTATTCCCTATGGAGGACTCTGTCTGGAGGGAGTTGGACTGGCTGTTTATTAAGCAAATGACACCAAAACTGAAGTTTCAAGTGAATTGGATCAAGGAGTCTAATTCTACAGGCTCTCAGGGCCTTAGGTAGACATCTTTCACAGCACCTATTATCTGATCCTTTAACTGGAGGTGTCAAGTATTGAACCTGTGGCCTTCAGCATGCCAAGCAGAGGCTCTTCCACTGAGTCATGCCCCCCTTTCCTAAATATGGACTCCAGATGGTGATCTACGATGTTTGGGGGGACGTTCAGAATAAGGGGGTGCAAACTGGAGCATTTAGGCATCCCCTAGTTCTACCCACTTGCAATGACTTTTTTTTGGGGGGGTTGTATTTTTTAATATGTGTGTGTGGGACTGAGTGTGCACCTGGAAGTCATGGCGACCTCTGGTGACTGCCCCCTACCGGGGGCCTGGAGGATATTCAGAGAGGTGGCTGAATAAGGCCTGCCCCCACCTCCCAACTGCTGGTATTCCAAGGAGGTCTCCCATTCTAGTACTTGCCAGAGTTGACCCTGCTTCGCTTCCGAGATCGGGCTTACCTGGGCTATCCTTCTCAGGGCCCACTTGCAATGGCTCTTGACAACTAGTGAAGGAGAGTGGTGTTATAATGCTTACCCAGGAGGAGGAAGAGAAGGAGATTGGATTTATACCCCACCCCACACTCCAAGTCTCAGAGCGGCTTACAAACTCCTTTCCCCTCCCCTCCCCACAACAGACACCCTGTGAGGTAGGTGGGGCTGAGAGAACTCTGAGGGAACTGTCCTTGAGAGAACAGCTCTGACAGAACTATGGCTTGCCCAAGGTCATCCAGCAGCTGCGAGTGGAGGAGTGGGGGATCAAACCCGGTTCTCCCAGATGAGAGTCCGCACACTTAACCACTGCACCAAATCCCAGATCTTCAGTTTCTCCTCCAGGCTCTTAAAAAAGGCACACAGCAAATAGGAATCCAACCAAGCGTTAAGGAGGTGACTGGTGGCCGTCTGGAATGAGGATCTCATTGAATGTATGCCTGAGGTCTGTGTAAAAGAATCGTACATTATCAGTTACGTACCATTCAGTAGACATTAGCAATATACCTATGCCAATAAAGTAGCCTTCTCTAGAGTGTGGTTCTTATGTCATAATAGTTTACTTATGGCTTGGGAGGCATTCGATGCTGACGTTGTGTGCTCGCTGGTGTGCTCGATAGTAGGTTAAAGGTTATGAACCACTCCACTGGCCCAGGACCTTGGCCCTCCATCTGGGAGAAGGAAACAGTGCTCCTAGAACTGACATTTCCTAAAATCCCGTCTCTAATACATTCTGATGATATAAATTGGATATAATGTCTCATCTGGCATTTGACATGCTCGAAAGCAGTCCTGCTCTCTGCTCAGACTGACTCGTGAAGCATGAGTCTGCATATGCTCTCGATTCAGGCTGTGCCAGTTGCTGCGTGCACTCGAGAGCAACTTCCCTGGGAGATTTTCCTCTCTTTTTTCCCCCTGAACGGACACGGCAAAGTCTCAAGTCGTGAACCAGATGCCCTCCTCATTGCTCTGAACTTGCCGGATCCGGTGCCCTGGGAAGGGTCTGGGGGTTCCACGCCCGCCCTTTGAGCCAGCAGTGCTGAAGTCAAAAAGGCGTCAGGATGCACGAGACGAAGGGCTTCACTTGACACTTCGCTTCCACCTGTGTGGTCAGTCGATCTCCTCCACCCATCCCACTTCCCTGGCAACTTTGGAGTGTCTGCGTGAAGGGGGGAAGCAAGATACCGGTAAAATCCTCCTCGCTTTCCTTCAGTGCTCTGACAGCCGACAGGAATGATTTGCCTGCTCAAAGGATGTTGACTTTGGAGTGGGAGTCTGAGGGACTGCAAACAGTGGGTATTGTTGTGATTATTTGTGCGTCTCTGAAGCTGCTGCATTTGCTGGGACTGATTGATTTTTCAGAAGGTAAAGTGGTTGCTCTGGCTTGTGCTGTTTGTAGGTAGAGTGTCTGGTCTTCTAAAAGAGGCTGTGTAAGTACACGAGGTTTTTTTGGAGTGTAAAATCTGGTTCTTTCTTTCTGTCTGTCTGTCTGTCTGTTAAGCCATTGTTTGTTTAAATAACTAGAAGGCTTGTAAATCCTGTTTCCATTTGCAATGGTCAGTCACAGGAGTTCTGCAATATTATCTTTTATAGCATGAGGAAGGCTTGAAAGCCGACAGATAACGTATGTCCATCAACCACAACCATCATTTTGAAGCTAGTAGGCAAAGTTCAGGTTTGGAAAGAGCTCCCTGCATATTTATCATTGCTTTATCAAACTGGAATATTTTCCCCGATTCCAGGCTGATGATAACTTATGGGAGTTTCTTGCGTGAATAACCGACTTCTAAAGAAGAATTTTACATTTGACTGTGTTCCCTGCCACAGAGGAAAGAGAACGTCTAGGTTTAGGGATTAAGCTGCATAGATTAATCTTTTAACCCTCTTATCAGCTTTGTTCTGAATTCACGTTTCTGCTGTGTAAAAGGATACATTTTTTTAATCATTGTGTTGGCTTTCATGGCGCTCCGACTCTTTCTAGGGAATGTGAGAACAGACGATTAGGTGAAACTTTCCGTTCGTTTCAGTACGGGAGATGCTGGCCAAATTCAAGTTCCAAAAAAGTAGCAGATCTGATATTTTACTACGATTTCTTATTTAAAAACCAGGTCTCGAAAAACAAAGCAAACGTGGCCATATGTGTGCTGTGGGGATATGAAAACAGTTCAGCCCCCGGCTCTGCCTATGTTTTAAATAGCATAAGCCCCATGGGGAAGGCACGCTATCCGAAGGGCTACTGGAGGACTCTCCTTTTTTTTGCAGTTTGCTCATTCTTTCTCTTAGGCGACTCCAATTTTATGTCCTTAGAAGTGGAACGGGGACAGCATATGCCACAGATGCCTGAAGTGAATTCCCCACCCATCCTTTCTTCCTCTCTTTCATCCGGGAGGGGGAAAAAAGACTTTTTTTTTAACTCTTGGGAATTTGCATAATCACTCCAGAAAGTGAAATTGGCAACATCTCACTTATAAAAACTTTTAAAAAGAAAGAAAGAAAAAGAAATCCAGCCTTTAAACTGGCAGGGGTAGGGATTTGTAACAGCGGCAGAAGCACGTCTTGTTTAAAAATATGTTTGTAGATACTTTTAGGGGAGGGCAAAAAATACTCTGTGCTTAATTGTCTGGCAACGTTGCAGCAACAGGTACTTTAGGCCAGTGAATATATATTCCCCTTTTTGCCCATGTGGCAAGTCCCTTGCCTGTTGATCATCATGTCATCTTAAAACCCCTATCATAAAGCCTTTGAATTAACCTAAAGGAATAGCACAGCTGATGTTGACAGTGTTAACAGAGAATCATAATGGCCATTCCTGAAGGACTTAACTGTGCAATCCTATGAACACTTTCCTGTTTGGTGTGGTGGTTAAGTGCGCAGACTCTAATTTGGGAGAGCCGGGTATGATTCCCCCACTCCACCACTTGCACCTGGCTGGATGACCTTGGGCAAGCCGTAGTTCTGATAAGAGCTGTTCTTGAAAAAGAGCCGTTTCTGTCAGAGCTCTCTCAGCCCCACCTACCTCGCAGGGTGTCTGTTGTGGGGAGAGGGAGGGAAAGGAGTTTGTAAGCCGCTCTGAGACTCCTTTGGGTAGTGAAGGGCGAGGTATAAATCCAATCTCCTCCTCCTCCTCTTCTTCTTCTTCTTCGGATTCTAAGTAGACCTGTTCAGGATTACTCCCTTGATCTAGAGTACTCCCTACAAAGATATCAAAAAAGATGATCGAGGTTGTGTCCTGGTCACCCTGTCATTTGGAGGTATAAATCCAATCTCCTCCTCCTCCTCCTCCTCTTCCTCCTCCTTCTTCTTCTTCGGATTCTAAGTAGACCTGTTCAGGATTACTCCCTTGATCTAGAGTACTCCCTACAAAGATATCAAAAAAGATGATCGAGGTTGTGTCCTGGTCACCCTGTCATTTGGATTGACCCCTATTGGCTGTGGCCCACTCCTCACCCAGCCATCCCATTTGCAGAGCATGTGCAGCTATTACCTGGGACGGAAGCCATGAGCAAAGAAAGGGGGCGGAGGAGGACTGGGCAGCCTGATTTCCCTCTCATGTGTCTTTTGACAGGTCCCAAGCTTCTTTTCTCTGGGCCTGGCACAAACCCGTAGTCTTTCCCTCACCCAAACCCATCCCAGATGGGCCCATCTCATAATTTTATTTATTTATTTATTTGCTGTCAAGTCACAGCTGATCTACGGTGACCCCCGTGGGATTTTCATGGCAAGAGACATTCAGGGGTGGTTTGCCATTGCCTGCCTCCGCGTCATGACCTTGGCATTCCTTGGTGGTCTCCCATCCAAATACCGGCCAGAGTCAACCCTGTTTAGCTTCCAAGATCTGATGAGACCAGGCTGCCCTGGGCTATCCAGATCAGGGCCGTCTCGTAGTACTATCTCATAAATCACCAAAACCAAAAAAAATCAGTGTTATTCTACAGTGACATAAAGATACCATGGGCCAGTGGGCTTGCAGCCTTGGGCTAGGTGTGCTTGGGGACCTGAATCTGGGGAGTGTGTTTTCATTTCCCCTACCCCATACGTTACCCCTCCTTGATGGTGAGGGGTCTGGAGACCAACTCCTATGAGGAAAGGTTGAAGGAGCTTGGTAGGTTTAGCCTGCAGAGGAGATGACTGAGAGGTGATATGAGAACCATCTTCAAGTACTTGAAGGGCTGCCATATAGAGGATGGTGCGGAGTTGTTCTCTGTTGCCCCAGAAGGTTGGACCAGAACCAATGGGTTGAAACTAAATCACAAGAGTTTTCGGCTAAACATTAGGAAGAACTTCCTGACAGTTAGAGCAGTTCCTCAGTGGAACAGGCTTCCCTAGGAGGTGGTGGGCTCTCCTCCTTTGGAGGTTTTCAGACAGAGGCTAAATGGCCATCTGACAGCATTGCTGATTCTGTGAACTTAAGCAGATCATGAGGAAGGGCAGGGAGGGTTGCCTCAGTGCTTAGTTGTTGAGGCCCTTTCTTACACACCCAGGGAAATGCCGATTGCCACTTTGGGGTCAGGAGGCAATTTTTCTCCAGGCCAGTTTGGTCAGGGATCCTGGAGGTTTTTTTCCATCTTCTGGGCGTAGAACAGTGGTCACTGCGGGTGTGGAGGGGGAGGTATTTGTGACTTTCCTGCATTGTCCAGGGGGTTGGACTAGATGGCCCTGGAGGTCCCTTCAAACTCTATGATTCTGTGTTTCACGACACAGCCAAATATGTTGCACATGAGATAAACATAGATCCACATACCTAAACTGAAAATATGGCTTGGAAGTTCAGGACAGGGGATTGGATTACATGACACATATATGTTCATGTAGGGTTGCCAGCTCTGGGTTGGGAAATACCTGGAGATTTTGGGGGTAGAGCCTGGGGAGGGTGGGATTTGTGGAAGGGGTTAGGGTTAGGGTTGTACCTCCGGAGGGTACAATGCCGTAGAGTCCACCTTCCAAAGCAGCCATTTTCTCCAGGGGAACTTGGTCGTCTGGAGATCAGTTGTAATAGTGGGAGCTCCCCAGGTACCACCTGGAGGCTGGCATCCATAATGTTCATGGCCCGATGATGATGATGATATAACGGCTGGGTCAGTTTTCTGCATCTCTGAAAACCTAAGCTTCTCAGTAATTGACATGGAAGAAAGCAATTCCCAGGGAAGTGAATCCTATCGTTGAAGAAAGACAATGATCCAAATCTGTGTTCAGTAAATAGACAGTGAAGGTGGAGTAGCAGTTAACACAAGACATGGACAGAGAATTAAGGGGGGATTGCAGAACTGGAAACTGAACAAAGAGAAAGGGAAAGA